GAAGTGAGCTACGTGCATGAACTGTGTTCCGATCGATATGATCCTGACAGAGTGTTCATTGCTCCCTCCTCCCTGAGCAGGGGAAATCCGTTGAAGTTTACTTCACTTCGGAACATGGGCTGGAATTAGGAACAGCTGATGTAGCCTATGTAATGTTGGCTCTGGTATTCTGGTCTGTGAGCGTATAAATGCGTTCAGGGAGCGTGGCTTTGGACGGCGATTGCAGGGAGGGTGGGACGTTCACTTTCAGTGTTTTCAGGCTAAAGTTAGCATTTTCCAAGATCTCCTACTGCACCTTTCAATTTAAAATGTTACAGTGAATGAAAATTCTGCCATAATGTAATCATAAGAATATATTTATTTTGGTAATTAATTTATTCATTTAGCTGAGGGACAGCTATGAGCTGTGGAACAAGAAATAGCAATCGTACTTCAATGAATTAACAAGGTAAACAACAGGGCTTAAATACAATACTAGAGTAACTACCAATGACAAACCAGAACTACTAAGCAAGAAGACAAGAAAGGATAGTGAACCAATCAGAGGACAGAACATAACAAAATAAGACAATAAACCAATGAAAACTTCCCAAGTAAAACAAAGAAACAGCATAGCAAAATCACATGAGGGGAACAATTTTAACTTCAAAATAAAAGACAGGAAACATGAACACAAAATAAAACCACAAAGCAGACATGACTTTAGTGTTTTAAATGGTTTGCACATAATATTAAGCAGCACAACTGTTTTCAACGTTAAAATGATTTCTGATGGATTAGGTGACACTGGAGAATGGAGTAATGATGCTGAAATTACAGTTTTGCCATCACAGGAATAAAATACATTTTAAAATATATTAAAATAGAAAAGTTATTTTAAATTGTAATATTGTTTCATAATATCCCTGTTTTACTGTATTTTTGATCAAATAAATGCAGCCTTGATGAGCTGCATAAAAATGTTGCTAATATCAAACTTTTGAATGGGTAATAGCCATATAAACATACTTTAAATATATAAACAGCTAAATGACACTACATTCTAAATACTGTAAATATGTCCAATGTATGTTTCATCTTAAATTAAAACATGCAAAAACAAATGTGTAAACATTGCATACAAATACCTATTAATGAAAACACTTGGCAATTACCAGCTTAATGGGTCGATAGTTATTTTATTTTATTTTCTTATGGCACAGACCTGCAGTCCTAGTGCCTTCAAACAGAAAGGTATTTAATTCATTATTAAAAAGGCTGGCAAATTAGCAAATCAAAAAAGCATATTAGCTTTATTTTAAATGATGGCCTACTGGTGAGACTGACGTTCTGGATCAATGCAGTCAAGTCAATAAGGAGTCTGGTATGCTGCTGGGAGAGGGTTTGATTGGGATTGGACCTTGGTGGGTGGCCCGGCCTGAGCAGCAACCTGTACAAATCACTTTTGCTTCACTCAGCTCAGCAAGCCACCTGCTAACCTTCCCTCCCATTCCCAGACAAGATGTGCTTTTGTGTAGCACCTCTTCATCAGTGGCAGCATGCTATTCTAGTGTGCTTATCATACATTTACAGTGTAGAAATTTAGCTAATAAAATAATAATTTTCACAGATTTTGAGAGTATTATCCGGATAATCTGCTTTGTATGCAAACGCATGATGTGACGTGCTCTTGTGTGCTGCATCCAGATCTATAGTTTTCACGCTTCTCTAAGGAGAAGCCTGGCTTGGAACTAAGGTGCAGGCCAGCATTCATCTTCATGATAACTGTGTCATTGGCCCTGCATGCTGGCTAAGCAAGCCTTCACACTCGCTACCTTAAACACGCTCAGCACTCAATATATATCCGTCACAGCACAGACTCAAACTCGCTCGATGTGTCCTTATCGCTCACAAACCCCCAAATGTTCCTCTATGCCGGTGTGCCAGTGCATGGTACGGAAGCAATATGCCTCAGTTTTTCTTTTTCTTTTCCCCCAAATCTCTCCAGGTGATCTGTCAATTGAGTTGTCAGATGAGTGAAATATGAATTCCGCCCTGGAATTTATAGTTTCAGTTAGGAATAGAGGTGTTGTCATTAACAAAAATTAACAAAGTGCACTCACGTCTCTGTTGGCCTTTGTTTTTGACTGTATAAACACAGCGGTGATAGAGATGTTACCGTTTTGTGTTTGAAGATTATGCACATTAATCGCCGTTTTAAGAGGGGACATAAATGGCATGTTAAAAGTACTGCTCGTTGACTGCTATTGGATACAAAAACCTTTTGTAAGTTTAAAATTATTATTGATGTTTTTGTTTGTGTGTGTGTGTTGTTGTTGTTGTTGTTTTTTTTCTTATTTTTCAAAGAACTATAGGAAATTCAAGAAGCCCACACAGGAAAAAAAATGTTTTTTATATTAAAGAATTATTGATACAATTAAGGTACAAATTTGTCCCCAAAATATGGTTAAGTAGGTACACACACACTAACTTGTAAGAGATATCATAGTTCTCTTTAGCAATGGCCTGACATAAAACAGCAGGAATCATTCCCCATTAGCGGCTGTCATGAGCTCAGTGTGTCAGCAATATGGTTTATCATAACTGCGAGAGTCCATTTTTTCCAATTTTTACCAGCCTTCTTCAATTAACCATAGCTCAGCATGAGCTGTCTGTTAATAACAAGCCACCCATCCTCACAGTTAATGTGCCTGCCATTAGCTGATTAGCCAGCATGATAGAAGAATGTAATTTTTTGTCAGTTCTCGTTTTTTTTTTTTCTAATATGATATTTTCAGCAAGGACATAAACTGAATTTAACAAATTTGTCCCACAGCCCAAATTTAGACCAACAGATAAATGCAGTTAAATATACCCATGTCAGTTTTAAACACTGATGCCAAACCTAGACTTCAATGAATGAGAAATGCACTGGGGCACTTATGCAAAAAATGGCCTCATTTTGCAGAGAAAAAAAGCCAAGTGTAAATGGAAATAACAACTCTGGCTGGCTTGGGAATTGAAAATATCAAAAAGCAATTTCTTATCTTGGCTATTTATAAATTAAATGAAGAATTATAGATTTGCTTCTGACTCTTATTCCACTTTGGAAAAAGGTTGAAGTAAACAGAATGCAGGTACTTTAAATGATATGCCTGCAATTCTTCATGAACACCCCTAGCTAGGCAAGTACACTTAAACAGGGTAGACAAGATCACTTCATGTATTTTAAGAAGTACTAATATCATTTCTCTGACCTTTTCCTCATCTAGACATGAAATACATTATGCCATATTGCATTAGCACTATCAGTCACAAGGGAAATACAGCCAGTGGTTATGATTCTGATAGCAAGAATAACTACAACTATTCTCAGCAGGTGTTGACATTGAAATGTCGGAAGAAAGAAAGAAGAAAAAAATGACTAGAAATGTTTTGAAGCAGCTTGTTGTTGAACTTATTTTATGCCTACACTTTTTTTAAATATATATATATATATATATATATATATATATATATATATATATATATTTTTTGTTAAACAGCAAACATGCTATAAATATTTTTGTTATGGGGTTAGCTGTAACAGAAAGAGGGAATATAGGGTCCCGACACCAGAGAGATGCCAAATAAACAAAACTTTATTTTCTTTGAATGGGAATATTTTCAGGGGCAGACAAGGCCAAAACAATAAACAAAACAAACATCTTTTAGCAGCTATAACTTACCTCAAACGAAAATAAAGAAAATAAAAAACAAGTTAGCTCTAACTCCCTCAAATATAAAAAAGTGAAAATTATGTACAAATAAATTGGCATCTAATCCCCTTATGTCCCTTTATTTTACAAAGTGTATTTACAAGATTATTTATAAAGGTATTTACAGTCTCATAGCGGACACAAATGAGAATCGCAATTCAAACAGTCAAACAGTGTAGTCAAACAGGCAATGGTCAGATAAACCGGAGAGTCCGATGTCAGTCTTACAAAAGCAAACACTCACACTTTCACTACACACAATATATCCCTCTGACGCGACACTCTTTCCACGATCAAACGATGATGAAACGAACAATGGCAGAGAAAAACACAATCAATCAGAACGAGGGTAAAACACAAAGTCAGCAAGGCACGAAGTGTCCGAACGAGTGTTTGGGACAGTCCTTATATTGGGTAAGGTGCTTAGCAGGACCAATCACCACCGCTGGTTAATGGAGGACCGACCCATCTGGAACACAAAAAATGTCTATACACACAGACAGAGAGATTATATACACACAAGGATAGTTGAAATAACCATATATCAGAGACATTTTTTGTGCTTTTTAGTAATTAAGAGATTGCTCAACCAATATGAAAGGAATATTTGTGAACACATCATTAATTTTTATATGGGAAATGTAGTAAGTGTAGTATGAATACAAATTGCATTGATCCAGTTCTTGAGATCAACTCAGTGGCTTGGTTGCAAACATGGCTTTGTTCACACTGTCAGCGTTTTTCAAAACTATTTCTCCTGAGCTTGTGTTTCCGGTCTCCAGAATTTCCATGCGCATGAAAGGAAATTAATCAAATGAAAAGTTTGCCCATTGAGAACACCAAAAACAACCACTACATATTAATAAAAAAAAATGCATTTTACAAAACCGTCATATTTAACAGCATTTACATTTTTTTTTTCTAATTGCTTAGTCACTAAAAGTGGCACTTGGGGCCCACTCAGTGCAACCATTCACTTATATACATAATCTTTAGACCAAGTCTGCAAAACTACAAGCACATTACTTACTTTAAGCTCAGTTCGCTATTGTAAAACAAACTTTTGCAAAACTCTAAACACAGTTCTCTACATTACACACATCATTCAAAACCAAAAGCTCTTTTCATTTGGGAAACACTGCCAGTTAAATGCCACAATCATTCACTGATGACCTACACCCAGTGATCACGTGTGAAAAGGTACTCGGTTACTAAGCCCGCTAGAATGGGCGGGGCATCTGGCTATATAAGCGGGCGCTCTCCACAGGATTCTCAGGTTTACTTCGACTGAAGCGACGATTGAGTCGTGCAGCTACATAGCACGGCAAGCAACGCAATACTCATTCCCGTATCTCAGGGAACCGAGGTTACGCTAGTAACCGAGTACGTTCCCTCTCGATACTTCACTCGTACTGCGTCTTGCTTAAGACGCATATGGGAACATAGTACAATCACGC